AGTTACCTAAGACAGACATTTTCACAAGGGTGTGTTGGTAGCAACCAGGACATGAGAGCCTCTGACTTTACAAGCTCCCTCTAATGACATCTTCAAGGTTTCTTCTCTAAAGGTCTTTAGTTCGTTAATCCATCCGATAAATATTTACCAAGCATTTGCCATCCTTAGGAGGAAAAACACTGGACTTTCAAAGCAATCCTATAGACAAGCGTTGCTGAGGGGCTGAATTTGTCTTAGTCTCCATCTATAGGTATTTGCTTATTTATGGAACCAAACAGACTAAGAATTGGCTTTCAGCAAAGATCTGAACAGGACAAGCTGAGGTGGCTGGGAGCTTAGCTGCCCTGGATGGCCAAAGGCGCAGCACAGGGTGGGATGTGACTGGGGTATTAGTTGAGCTTTGAGCTGTTGTCTAGCACTCTGAGTATCATAAGCTAATAGCTCAGGGGCTACTCTGAGCTTCTTAGCTTCAGAAAAAGATCTTTGGGTGGTAACAGGATGCTCTGCCACACTGGAATCTTTCTCTGCCACATGTGACCCGGGTTAGCATTCCCACAGGCTTCTCGGCATGCCCTGTTGCCTCTGTTCCTCTGCACCCCACCCTCAACAGGCGCCTCACTTACCACAGAAATTCTCACAGATAAAGATCATTTGAAGAGTTAGAAATACCTTTTCAACAGTTACACAGCAGAAAGTGGGCATTCACATACATTTGTAAAGACTCACTGCTATGTTCTAGACTCTTTCAAGCACTGTATATCTTTTCTCTTCACACCAACCACGTGAGGAACTGAGGCTCAGAGAAGGTGAATATTTTGTCCAAGGTCAAATGGCTGATAAGAGGCAGGCTAGGGTAGGAACCCTGGTCAGTCTGACTTGGAAGCTCCTACCCACCCGGTCAACATTTGGTTTGATGAGCAGTGAACTTAGAATTATCCAACAATCAACAAACATAAAGTCCCCTGAAACTAAGTAAAGGATGTCAGTGGATCAATATGGACTTATTTTGATTTTTTAAGCCTGATTACCCGATTTCTTCTGGGCACTAAAGGGATGTGTTAACTTGCAAATCCACGTTGAAGATTCCACATCTGCACGTGTTGCCACGAGGTTCTTGGAGCCTTTTTACATGTCTTGCATGGCTTTCATGCAACCCCTGTTAAGAACTGATGGCTTCTATTCTTTGAGGTTTATGACTAGGCTGTAAAATTTTACTCTGAGATGAAATTTTCCATATAAAAATTAAGCCCTGGAATTTGGCCTTTAGAAAACAAAACAGTATATATTACGTAAGTTTCTTAGGCTTAAAATCATGAATGAGGGTTTTTTCAAAACACAAACTTTATATTCCCACAGACTCAAAACACAGTAATAGTTTAGTATTTGTGGACATTAGCCTACAGCATAGAATAATTTGCTAATGTATCCTGTGGTGCATAAAAAACTGCAACACAGACAGGTCTTTATGCAGAAACCTGAAGGCTCTGCGTGTGCTCCATCCAGTCCCATCATATGGTAGAAATGTTAGCAAATATAAAAGTGTGTGACACTATGGAGCTGCAAAGCTGACAAAGCAGACTTAAAGTTTATTAAATAGGCCACGGAAATGGTATGGAGGTTCCTCAAACAACTGCAGGTAGACATATGACCCAGCTATCCCACTGCTGGGAATACACCCAGAGGAATGGAAATCATCAAGTCG